TCCCTGCGCCAGGCTGAGTGTCTGTTTCTCCCCTCCGCCAGTGCCTACGAGATCACTCCCCGGATGCGGGCATGGCGCCAGACCCTGGAGCGGTGCCGGAGCGCGGCCCAGGTCTCCCTGTGCATCTACCAACTGGAGAAATCCATCGCCTGGGAGAAGTCGGTCAACAAAGTGGTAAGGGGTGCGGGGGGGACATTCGATGGTTCCCGGCCGTCAGGAGGCACCAGGGACGAGGGGTAGTGCAGGGAAGAGGTGGCACCCTGTGGAGCTCCCTGCTGCAGGAGGGAGAGTCGGGGCTGGAACTCGGGAACCACCATCCTACTGCAGGGGCGGGGAGAGGGTCAGGGCAGGATCTGGACTGGATGGACCTAGTAGGGTAAGAAATAAAATGTCTGGCTGGGCTGAGCTCCTGTTGGGGGCCTCTCTCAGCCCACCCACCTCACGTTCTCCTTTTCCCCCAGACGTGTCTGGTGTGCCGGAAGGGGGACGACGACGAACACCTGCTGCTGTGTGACGGCTGCGACCGCGGCTGCCATCTCTACTGCCACCGGCCCAGGATGACGGAGGTGCCGGACGGGGACTGGTTCTGCTCCGTCTGCGTCTCCCAGGTATGTTCCCGTGGGAGCCCAGTTGGGCTTCGACCGCTGCGTGGGCTGCCCCCCTCACCGAGATCTTTCCAAGCCCAGATCACACCCTCTCTCCCCCACCCCTGCTGGGAGCCAGGGCTGCTGGGTGGTGGCTGTGTGACCTCAGAGGAACGTCTCCCCTCGTGCCTCAGTTTCCCTATTGTGCGGTTCGGGGGTGGGGAGCAACCGATTCCAGCGGGTGACTCCCCCAGTCTCTCTTTCCTTGCAGGCAGGAGGCGAGTATTACGACGACCCCAGTTCGCCCAGGCGGGGCAAGAAGCGGAAAGGCGGGCGTCTCTTTGGGGGGGGCTTCCCGGAGGAGGAGGAGAGTCCTGGGCGCCGGGTCCTGCCGCGGAGGCGTGACACCCTGTCGGTGCCCCGCTACTCAGGGGAGGGCCTGTCCCCCTCCAAGCGGAGGAGACTGTCCCCGCGGGGCCAGAGCAGCGACCTGACCTTCTGCGAGTACGTACCCTGGGGTGTGCCCCCCTGGCTGGGGCGGGGCCTGGGGAGGGGGGTCGTGTGCATGCCCCAGCAGGGTGGGGCGGGGCACTGCACGCCCCAGTTTGGTACATGTCCCTGTGCTACGCCCCTCCTCTTCTGTAGGATCATCCTGATGGAGATGGAGTCTCAGGAGGACGCCTGGCCATTCCTGGAGCCCGTCAATCCCCGGCTGGTGCCCGGCTACAGGAAAATCATCAAGAACCCCATGGACTTCGCCACCATGCGGACGCGGCTGCTGCGGGGCGAGTGAGTGTCGGGGCAGGGAGCTCTCGGGGGGAGGGGGAATCTCTGCAAGGAGCCAGAGGGCGGCATGGACCTCGCAGGCTGGCGCCGAGTATCCCTCCCCCTCCCTGGGCCGCCTGGCCCCAGCGACGAAGAACCTACCTGCACCCATCTGGCTGTGTGGGGCTGGCGGGGGCCGTTTCTCCTCCTTCCCAGGGGCTGGCTAGACACCACCCGGGCATTGCTGGGTCGGGGGAGGAGGATAGAGGGAAAGGGCCGGAATGGGCATGGGGGGATTCAGGCAATGGGGCGGGGTGGCAGCAGAGGTCAGGAGAGCTGTTTCCTGCTCTGAGGCTGCTGTGATCCAGGCGGGAAGGACTCAGGGGTGACTCAGTCTCCCTGGCTCCTCCCCAGGTACGTGAGCTGCGAGGAATTCGCCGCCGATGCCACCCTTGTGTTCGACAACTGCCAGACCTTCAACGAGGACGACTCGGAGGTGGGCAAGGCCGGGCGCGCCATGCGGAGATTCTTCGAGAGCCGGTGGGAGGAATTTTATCAGGGAAAACACGCTCCTAACCCGTGAAGTGGGAGCCCAGGGCTGGGGTTGGGGACTGTGCCCCCCCCCTCCCTCCACGCTCCTGACCTGAGACCTGTCTCGTGCGGTTTGGGGTAGGGAGAGACCCCCCTCCCCCCCGCAAAAGAACTGACTCCTCTGGAGCCGATCTCGCTGCCTGCTGAATTCCCGACGGAGGCTGGTCCCGGTGCGGCGTGGAAAAGCCCCTCCCCCCCCACACACATACCAGGAGGCTTGGGGTAATGGGGTGTCTCCACGGCCCGGCTGCTCCCTCTCCCCCGCCCCCCCTCCCAGCCACCCGGACTCACGGACTGTGTAAGCCAAAAACGGAAGAAACCGGGCGATCGCTCGTCGGGTTCCTTTTCTACTTCACCACCGCCCGACCCGGCACACGAAGAAAGACCCCCCCGCCCCCCCGCCCCCTTGGCTGGGAGTATTTAACATAGCAATAGTTCGTAGTGAACGTGTATGAGGACAGCACTGCTGTGTGCTGTCCCTCAGGCATTAATGGCCAGTAAAGTGAACTCAACTCTTCGAGATTCGCGTCGAGCTTCACGCCCGGACCCGCTCGCAACGACACTGGGACGCGCTGCTTCCACACACAGCCCCCCCCGGCTCGCTGCTTCCCTTCCGGGACCTTTCCATGCCTGCCCTTACCTTCTTGGACCTTCCCATGCCCCCCTGTTCCCCATCGCCCGTACCTTCTGGGACCTTTCCAGGCCTGCCCCCTACCCCCCTTACCTTCTGGGACCTTTCCAGGCCTGCCCCTTTGCCCTTAACCTTCTGGGACCTTTATACTACACTCAGCAGGTTCCCTTAACCCTCTCCCAACCCCCCCAAAAGGCCCCTCCCTCCCCCCCCACTACCAGGCCCTACCATTGCAGGCCCTTTAATGGGGGGTGTCCCTGTTGTGTCCCCCCTACCCCACTGGGTCAGATCCTTCTCTGCTGTAGGGCTGTTACCCCCCCCACCCACACAGATAATAGGGGTTTGAGGGAGGATCGGACACCCCCACGGATCTGGCTACAGGGAGCTGGGCTGAGCATCGGCCTGTAGTCGGAGGGGGGTGGGTTCTGTGTGGGGGAGCTCCTTCCCTGCCCCTCAGCAGGACTCCCCTCCTCCAGGTGACCTAGGCTTGTTCATAGGATCCCAGCCTGAATGTGTGTGTGCCCCTCCCCTTGCCGTGAGGACCCCCCAGAGTAGGACTTGTGGTGTTTCAGCCCTTCTCCCCCCCGCCCCCCCCAGCTGGTAGGTTTGCACCCGGGGGGGCA